TCTGGTCAAATACTTTTAATAAAATTTTTTGGTATGAAGAACGTTATTATTCAAATATAATTAACATAATTTTTTATAATAATAGTCTCTTATTGCAATTGTATAAGAAACTATTATTATTAAATTCCTTATTTACAAATACAATTCCTACTAAGCCATCAATTACTGTGGGACTTATTTTAATTGCTTTAAAATATCACTAAGATAGTTAAACGTTACTTTGAAATTATATCAAAAGAGCAAATAAACTACAAAGTGATAGAAATATTTTAGAAGTGCGGCTAATAGGTACAATTTCCGATAACTTCACTGATATATGGCAACTTAAACTTGTCAAAAAAAATTCACAAATTTCTTTGAAGAAAGAAAAAAAAAAACAAGCAAAAAATGACAAACGTTTTTAATAAAATTCTTCGCAATGAAAAATATTATTAATCAAAAATAATTAGCATTATTGTCATATGCTAACTGATATTTTATAATATAGCAAAAAAATATGCAAAAAAGGAAATGATGAATCATTTGAATTAAAATTCATCCATACGAAAATTTTAGAAGAATTTAAAATTAAATTTAGAAATTAAGTTTTTAGAGAAAAAATTCGATTTTCAATAAAACGAAGTTTTTTCACGACAATACAATCTTGTGATGAACGAATTAGGCCATTCTTAAATTTATCGATGGCCAAAAATATGACAGAAAAGGAGTAGATGAGGCCAGAAACTTACTTTGTTTGGATCAATCCAGTAGACTGAAGAATAAATGCTTTGCTCATTGGGCAAACTTGAATAGAGAGCCTAGCTGGGCTGTCAAATTTACTCCTTCCTTTTGTTATCTCAACGTTCCATACTTCTTTCCGCATTTCTAGACATATACACATATATGTATGTATGCATTTGTTTTCCTCCCATATTACGGATCAAATTTTCTATATGGGCTTTTTTTGAAAAATTTTATAGTTTGAAATATCTTGGTTTATAAAGTTTGCAAAGTTACCAATAATCTCACCATCAATTGACTCAAATTTTGGAAATGTGTTTACTTGCTTGATTGATTTCTTAAAGTAATACTTTATATAAAAATCGATTGAGATTTATTTGAGTTCCTTTAAAGAAGCAATATCTTCAAAAAATTAATTCAGTTATAAGTAAAGAAATTGAATTAATAAAATTCAAAAATAGCAATGTGTGTAAAAAAGAGTTGAATTGATATATAAAAATTTTCTAAGTACAAAGATTATTTTCGGATGCCAACAATCAACTAACCATTGAAAATTAGTTGAAATTGATGGAAAATGAAAGGCGACAAATTTGGCAGTTATCATAGAGCAAGCCGGAGTAAAATGAGTTAATGCTAATTTAAATTAGGAAAATGGGATTAGATTTGAAGTCATAATTGAAATGAATCATTGTAGAAATGATCAAAGTGAAAATATTGCAAATTGTGGAAATTTTATTTTCTGTCCCAGTTTGGCTCCAAATTATTGAGTATCGATGGGCGGTGCATGTTCCAAGTATGGATGGATCATTTGTGAAAACTGATTGAGAACATTTCCTTTTCTTTACTTCCGAGTCTCTTTTCCCTGTTATAGGCTGCGATGAATGCTACTGGCACAATGACAATTACCTCTGGCCATCTATTCCTATTGGCCAACATCATAACAATGCTATCTTATTCAACAATCTCGTCCATAAATTTTGCATTTCATGTCAAAAATGAAGCAGACTTTTGAGGATTCCACAGAAAAATTAGCAAAAATACAATGATTTAACAGATATTAATTGTGAGACACTATAGAAAAAAAATAATAGAAATTTTTATAAGCTGAAAAATTAACTGGGAAAAATAGAAATTTTTATAAGCTGAATTGAAAATGTATTTCGAATGCTGAAAATCTTATTTCACGATCAATCAATGATGTAAAGAAAGAAATTAAAACTGTTCACTTTGCATTATTTATTCCATTTGTAAGCAATATTTATAAATAATGATATTTGAGGAAATTTCTTATTCATGAATGGGTGATATTGCAAATGATGCTCGAAAATTAACTGAAACAAAAAATTCGCAATGAAACAAACGAAAAAGATAAACTTGAAAGTTTAGTTCTTTAAGCCAATATAAGCAGTCAATGTAATTAGGAAAACATTGAAAAGTAAAAAATAGTAAAGTGTGACAAAATATTGAATGTTAAAATCTTTTTAAATAATGGAAGAAGGATTTTTTCTAGTTTGTTAGCTCATAATTTGAATTAAAAGCACAGTGTTACTCAAATTTGATTGGTTCGAAGATTTCATTCATAATGTAAAGATCGTTATTCTCTCAATTATCATCGCTTTTTTTTGAATCGAAAGATCAAATATTCTAGTTGATTTTTTCTTTTAAATTTTCAAAAAGTGCTTTTTTATCATTATTCTTCCATCTTCTTCGAAAAAGATAATTAAATCTGTGAATTTTTGAAGCAAATAACTGACCGAAAAAAAGAGAAGAAAAAATGCTGTAATCATTATGCAAATGAAATTGATTGCAAACTAAAATACTTGTGTAAAAATACAATTTCTTGGAAATTTAGAAAATGATAAAATAATTAAAATAAAGTTCCATTTACAGGTAGTTTTCACCTTCAAAAAATCTTTGTTCATGCAGAATAATTCTGTTTGCTTTTGCAGAATTCGGCCATTGAAAATTGGATAACTTTTGGTAAATTGTCAATTTGTATATTGAATAAAGCTCTAAAGCCCACAGGCATTGGGATCACCTAAAGGTCATTTATTCCTATTAGTACATTATCTGAGTGATATGAAGCAATGAATTTTCTGAGAGAAATTTTTCTGGAGCTCCAATCAAGTACTACGATTGATAATATCCCAGTTTTAATTAACATATACAAAAACATATACAAGTAATAACTTTAAAATACTTGCACAATTAATTCTTTTACTGTTTTTATTGTGGATGTGATACCACCAGATAACATATCTATTTTCTATTCAAATTATTTTTTATCAAATTCAAAGTTTTCGACTTTTTCGGAATAATTCAATAATTTATTATCTAATAAAATTGAGAAATTTCGAATACATTTTGAATGATGACTATGAGAGCTTTTGATTTTTTTTCTTTCACATGAACTGATGAATGATCACGTTGCGCTGAACCGCGCATATCTCAACTTGTACTGTAAGATGACAGTTTTAAAAAAAATTTAACTGGATATTCTAAAGTTCTGCGAAAATGCAACAACGATTCTGCAAAAATCGTTGTTGCATTTATCGCTTTTCATAAAATTAAACAGAAAAAAGATGTTTAATTTTGAAAACAATAATAGAAATATAATTAATTTTCATGACTCATCTTCCTCTTCATCCGAATTATCCGCGTCCGTTTTATCGGAATGCGTCTTTTGTGTATTCTGCTGATAGATTGTGTAATCCAAATGTGGTATCACTCGTCCGTTACTTCGTACCGGTGCTGGGATTTTGCGTAAATCATTGAAAAATGAATGTCCGAGTACATCATTACCTTTCAGCCTTAAGTAAGGTTCATAAACAAGGATAGCTTGAAGTAATTGGATCATTTCGGCTGGCGGATTGAAAGCATTTAGTATTACTCGTAAACCGCGGGCACGTTTTCGGGCATATCGTGGTTTGTTTACTTTCATTGCTTGACATTGCTCCGTGCTTGGATAACCAAATATGTCGATGACTAATCGAGCCTGATCATGGCAGGTACGTCCCTGTAAGAGTACTTTACCGGTAACGAATTCGGATAATACACAACCGCATGCCCACACATCTACTGCTGTTGAATACTTAGTTGAACCGAATATTAATTCCGGTGCTCGGTAATAACGTGTCACCTAAAAAACAAATATTAATTTGACAGATTTTGAAATTTTTTTTGCATCCATAAAGAGCTAAGAGATTTTCTCGGCACTAACCTGATACGGTGTATTTTCTTCGTCTTTCTTCAACAATTTTGCATTCCCGAAATCGGCCAATTTTAAGATTCCCTTCTCATCATCGACAATCATATTAGATGGCTTAACATCTCGATGTGCAATGCCTAAGGCATTCACGTAGTCTATAGCTGAGAACATTTGAAATGCGTATAATTTAGCATCCAGAAGCGAAAAACGTCGATCCACTTTGCTCAATCGTAATTTGGCCATATCCGTAGGTAAGTAATCAAAAACCATACAATGGCATGTTTCACAATTTGATGTCAGAGTGAAATGATAGAGAAGTGTGATGATGCATCGATGCTTCATTCGAGAAAGATAGTACACCTCCGGATTAATTACCGACCAACTTGTACCGGGCCATGTTTTCTTGATTGCAATAATCATTTCTACCGGTTTATACAATCTGGCTGAATAAACATTAGCGAAAACACCGCTTGCATGAAGATGCTCCTCCCCGAATGTAATTTCCACGTCTTTACCCTGACCTGGTCCGTGAACCCGAAGAGCTTTTACTGTTCGTCCCGTCATTTCATTTCCGAATAATTTTCAACCTTCCAAAATTCGTAATGTTTTACCCTCTGACTTTGAACTGAATTTCCGATATATTTAACTAATAAATGGCACTCAAACTTTATTTCTTTCATTTTATATTTTTCAAATCGAGCAAAATTTGCATGACATAAATTATATTGAAATCGTAACATACATTATAGTTAATTTCATCTTATAATAAAACTTTTACAGCAAACTAATGTTATTTTTTTTAGTCCTACCGTCTCATGAAACGGATAAGGCACAATGTTACTGTTTCCGGAAAATAAAGGGTACTTAAATAGCAAATTTTAGTCTGATCTCCTAATTTGACCTCATCGTCTTTCCGTACTTCTCATTTCAGCATTAGCGCCCTTACATGCTTTTAACTTTGATGGATCAAAATCAGCTCCAATTGGTAATTCAACAAAATCCCGGGAAATAACGATTTTCCTGCTATCTTTACTTGCTTGCTGTTTTCGCAGTACTGATGGACGATTTAGTGCTTTTGAAGCCAAAGCCATTCGGAATTGGACGATCTGCAAAAAATCGCAGAAACATTGATTTCATCTAATTTTTCACAGATAGAACTTTAATTATAAATTTTAAAATTTCACGTGGTGTAAAAAATTTATGGTAAACCGTATGAGTTTCCAATTTAACAAGAAGAAATAATTCAAAAAAATTAACTTGTTTTTGAGCAATTTCTAGAACATCACTTCCTAGTTCAACTTGATCACGATAACTATCAATGTCTCCAGCTGAACTTTCGATTGTAAAATTTACCTTAATAAATAGCAATTGTATCTTTTGAATTATGAAATCATTATGAATTTTTTCCAAACATTTGTGAATATTCCAAAAAAGAAAATTACGGAATACCTGACCCTTTTCGATGACAGCTTCTTGTATGAAATAATCGAGCATAGTTTTACTTGCAATTGGATATTCATTCACTTCACTAAAATAATGCATTTATTTGCAGAACTTCCAATTCTTTAATTTAATACCATATTGACTCATTCAGTTACTTAATAAATTTATCGATTAGTTTCCAGGATTGGTATGCTTCGTAAATTCCTTCAATTCTGTCATCATTTCCATCATTGGAATTTTAACGATTGGTGTTCAATTATAATGGAGACTATTCGAAGAGAAAATAAAATGTTATTTTTGGGTCCGCAATGTTGCTAAACTGAACAAATATCAATCGTAAACATCAAAACATACCGTATTATATCGCCTGGACGCAAATGTAAGGATGAAAGACTGTTAACAGCTGTAGCACTCACTTGAATTCTTTCTTTTGCATCATATTTTACTGACAATCCGAGCATGTCGGTTACGTCAACTATATCATTAATATGTAGCGCCATTTCGACCTGTAAAATTAAAATTTTATTTTTTATCATTTGATAGACACAATATTTTCCCATGTTTTCGTTACTAATTTAAATTAAAAAAATATTAAAGAGGGGTAGATTTTAAAACATAAAATGGAAAAACTAATTTTTCATTTTCAGTGGACTAGTACAAAATCTTTTCCAAAATAATTTATAAGAGTTAATTAGACTAAGATTGTGTTTCAGAATGTTTCTCGAATTTTCATTTTTTGAATTTCTTTTATTATTTTTATTAAAAAGGAAATCTTAAAACCTATCGTATATTTTTTACTCTTTCCATTGCTATATTTTTTCTGGAATATTTTCTAATTAGTTGTATCAGAGAAGTGAAATTCTGTGGTGATTTCATTTTAGAGGACTCCTGAGAATTAATTTAATTTATTTCAGATTCTTTTTTGATTAAAGAGAAATAGTCTTCTTGCCAAATATAGATCGATTGCTCGACCGGTGCACTTCATTTCTCGACCGCGTTCTACGCTTATCTTCTCCGCAAATGTCCTTTTGTGTTTGCATTTTGAATAATATGTACGTTTAAACCCGACAGCTATCACCTAAATGTACTATGCGACGAAGGCTTTAGGAATCTTCGGCCGATTTAATTTCAAATAAAAAAAAAATCTCCAAATTGTGTCAATTCAATTTAATTTTTTATAAATTCTTACAAAATCTGGAATTCTATAATAGATTTCATGAAGCAATGTCACATTAATTTAATTTGCTTTAATGTTCCGTAATTAATTGTATGATTTTTCTAAACGACCATGTGAAGAAGAAATTTCTATTACTTATTCAGAAATTGAATCTAACGATGTTTTAATGAAATTGTTAAACAGAAATAATTTTACCGGTGAAGGTTTTTTAAGTATACTGTTGAGCTCCTTGATAGTACTAATTTTTTGTCCGTCGACAGCTATGATAACATCACCAACAGATACCCGTCCCACTGATGCGCCAGATTCCTCGATATATGTCACCTTAACTGCAAGGTATGATTAGGACTGTGGTAGTTCGAATTCTGGTGGACGTGACCACATTCTGATTTGATTATTAGAAGCATTTGAAAGATTTTGAAATAAAAATATCCATGGCTTTTTTTCAAATTAAAGTGTTGCAATTTTCAGTTAGTTATTGTCTTCAATAGCATTGTATTATAAAGAACTGAAGATTTAATATTCTAATTAAACAAAGTTCTTTAAAATATGGAACGAATTTTAACCCGTAGAGTATTTTTGCAAATCCGTAGGCCAAGTGGTTTCTTCAGCAAAACAGTTTCCTAAAAGATAGATTTATTGAACTGAAATTTAATTCAAATCAATTGTTTGAGTGGAAATTAGCAGGCTAAAGAATGCTTCACCATATATATATGAGATTTCAGATGACTCCAACGACAAAAATGACAAACGGTATAGAACTTATTGAACTTAATTTCTTCCTTAGACAATTTTGATTAAATTTGGGCAAATATGTCCAGAGAAATGTGCAACCAAATCACAATTGCTTTATTTGATAGAAATATGTAGCAATGAGTACAGGAAATTATATCCCTTGAGCGAACCTCATCTACTTACATTTCAAATTTTTCTCATCAAAAAGAGCAGCACACTCTTATTTGAGTGAACATAAATCTTCTTAATTAAAGCAATCTCCTTCAGAGCAAGCAATTTTACTAAGTAGAACGAGTCCCATTGTTTTCGAAATTCCCGAACTATTCTCACATGTCAGTTATAGCTTCTCTAGAGTTCTTGTTGTAATTAAGGTTCCTCCATTCAAGCATTCATATGACAAAGATTCATTTTGAACGTCTAAACCATCGTGAAGCAGAATAATCCGCTTTAACCTGAAATGGCTCCAATGGTGGTGGATGAACGGTAGGTTGCTGTAGGAATGGCTGTTGATCTTCCGGTACTTCCTTACGAGAAGAAACATCTTCCGAATATCCGTTCCTTTTCTTTTTCTCCCTACTGCGCATCTGTTGCAGATCGAGCTTATGATTGCAGTCCCTTTTTAAAGTCAGAAACTTCAACGCGACGCTGATAGCAAAAGTTTATGAGATTGTTTGACCACTTTCTATCGTTATATATTACTACTATTGCAGGAGGAAACAGTATGCAAAATCATCAAAATATGCAAATGATTGATCAGCAAAATTGCATTTATCAATTTAATCCATATATATTCGATTTCTAATATAAATCTAAAACAAATCAATGTATTTGGAAAAATCACATATAAAGCTGTGGGAAAAAATTATGAATCTTAATCATCAAGTTTCATCAATTAACTTGCTACAATTATAACGTTTTACTGGTTCAGCAAATATGTACGTACAGAGAACTGAAATAGCGGAATTTCAAAAAATATTTTCTCAAATAGTTGAAAGTCCTACCTGTTCAGATTCAAGACTAGCTTTTGTCAGAATTGGTTAATTTAAAATTAGTAAACTAATTCCGCTCACTCATATTTCTTCATCAATTTACCGTTTTCTAATATACCCATGGTTATACACTATCCTTTTCAAACGTTCCACATTCCATATTTTTTCTTCCTACATTCGCTTATTGTCATTTCCTTTTTCTAACTTTAACATCAAACTTACCTTACTGTGATTAATTTCTATTCGCCTACTAAACTATCAGTAATATGAGAAAATTCATGTTGCTATTACTATTTGTTATTATCGTAAAGTGAAAGTTCTTTGCAAGGTAATATTTATAATAAAAAGGAATCTAAACATTACACAAATAGTTTTCTTTGCTTTATTGAATTAAGAATACTGATTCATAGGGTTCATTTACAGATATACCTTTAAAATGTTTGGAAAATGTTCTTTAAAAAAGTTTAAAAAGGAATAATATTTGTTGTAGAAGTTAGTATTAATTGACAATTTTTTCTGTTGTAAAGATATCTGAAATTGTTATTCCTTTAATATGTCAATTTTAAAATGTTTTCAACACACTCCAACTTATGAATAAGCTGGCGGTGACAACTGAATTAATGCGGAATGGAGCAGAGAGAACCTATCTTAGAAGTAATGCAGAAGAGATCGTGGTTGTTGTTTGAGTTTTTGTAGTTCTCAGCCTCAGTACCACAACAACGGCGGTCTTGTGACTATAGCTGTAGGTAAGAAAGGTGCTACAGTCATCCAAACCAGCCCTCAAAATGTTTGCTCAATACAAGCAGCGGATCGGTCGAAGAGCAGCGCTGTACCGTTTGCTCTCGCAATACTCCCATTTCATTCTATTTTCATTTTTCGTTTTCATTCTTCTCTCAATGATGTTTTCATTTCATCATTACAGGTAAATACCGAAGGAAGGAAGGAGTTAATCTTTGAACTGTCTTCAAAAAAATCGAATTTTGCATTTTTTTTCCTCAGATTTCTGCATCGATGATCCAAATTAGTGATTGAATTTCAAATGAATGTGGTTGACGGTGCCGAATAGAGTTATAATATTTGTTTGATCAGTCTTGAGAGGCACACATATTAAGCTAAAATTAATTTTGATGTAAGAATGTTCTCCGAAAAGATGACATTCTCTCATAAAATTCCCTTACAGTTGACTAATTTCAGTAAATCACGAAATATTTAAGCTTGGCTATCTTTGGAAAACTGTTGACATTTACTGTCAAATTAACAAATCTTTTATAGATATCAGTGTTGAATAATAGCTTTAACCCTAATGATTTTCTTATCACAAAGGGTTCAAACTCTAAGATGTCACTGTGTACATAATAAAGTTAGCTGTTACCAAAATAAGTACTCCAAAGAAATCCAACAAATCATTATTTTATCTTATTTAATTATTTAGAATAAAGCAGTTCCGAATATTCTGATATAAGAAAATCAATATTAATCGAAGAGATAAAATAATGATTTATTGGATAAAATCATTATTCTATCTGTTTGAAATATTATCTGCATTTGTAACTTAAATCTGTATGAATGAATATTGAACTGATCTGTTTTTGAGTCGCAATGATTGACTTTGCAGTTCCAACGATTACCAAACTGTTGCAGTTTCTATATCACATTGTATTCATCCCTATAAATCATATTCTTTTTTTATTATCAAAACAGCAGCGATAAAGAATGTTGCTATGATTTGTTAATTATATCGAATGTTTTCAGGATGATATCATTGATAAGTCCACGAGGATTACATTTGTTAAGCCGCAGAATGTTGTTCAATTCGATGGGTATGTCTCATTTACAATAACTTTTTTATCCTTCGTTCTTCTTCGAGAGGATTTCCGTCAAACACTTTTATTACAGTTTTCTCAGATATTCTATTTGCCATCGATAGATGTGTTATCCCGTGAATACAACATTCTCGAATGAGACATACATAGCAGAGAAGCGAGAAAAAAAAAAACTTTCGGACTTGAAGAAACAAAAAGTTTGGCGGAAACTTTGTCTTGAAATTCTTCCCGTATTCACCATGCCACCATCTGTTGATAGGAATGAAAACACAAGCAACAGTGAATTCGAAATAGATAATGATACTAACGACAAGTAAGTGGAGTAAGCGGCTCTCGGGATAGGATCCGTACCTTATCATTAATTTCAGATTAGATCAACCTTTATTTTTATACCTTACTGTTTCATTTTCTTCACCACTAATCAATCAGTTCGAGAGTTGCGCGATTAAAGAAGAAGAGTGGAAAGGAAGGAGAAGGAAAAGACAAAAAGGATGATAGAAGGAGAAGAGGAAAAAGTTGAGCAGGAGAGAGTGAAGGAAAAATCCGTACACACTGCTTCCACGGTACATCAAATATATCTGGTGTAGTATGCCTCTGGCGGACCTTTACTTGCCTCGTCCAATTTACCTGGTAGTGCTTTAGGATTTTTTATCGTTGAATTCTAACCGAAAGTATGACCTGAGATTTACTGAATTTCATTCATTCAATCAATCAACACTTTTGTCAATTAACTTTCATTATTTGCTAACTGTTACTTGGTTGTTGCAACGTGAGAGTTATTTATCACCACATTCTTAACTAATATTATGATGGATCACATTAAGGCTTCTAGCTGCAAGCTAAAGCTACTAAGAGAAGACTAATATGCAATATGCGCTAGAGTCAGGAAATTCATTTCCTGTATTCAGTTACCGGAGGTGTGCGGATGATCGGATGGTTTCTGATGTTTAATGATTGAATTTTAATATTTTTTTAAAAATTCAGCCCAATTTTTTCCGCTTGTGCAGTTCAAATTGTCAGATATTGGTGAAGGCATCGCTGAAGTGCAAGTAAGCTATTAGTTTCATTAATTAATATGCGAATTACTCTAGTATTCTTATTAACATTTTTATTTACATTATAACTGTAAGGGTGCCAGATTTTCTGATTCTGATATCGTTTTTAACAAATCAAAAGATAACAAATATTCTGGAGAGCATGTTATGTAATTTATGGATACATTTGCAGCACGCTCTTCTTTGTTGAGCAAATGAAAGAACTGTAATTTGGAAAGTTTAGTATGTGAATTTTTGATATGTTTACTTATCAGTTTCAGGATAACTTCAACTTCATATTAGTTATTTTTCGAAATTATTAAAATGATTCAGTTCCAAAAGAAAATTTTGGAACTGAATCATTTCTCATTCAATTAGAATTTCATGAAGTTATCCTGATTCCCGAGAATGTTTTTAGATTAAAGAATGGCATGTGAAAGAAGGTGATCATGTCAAACAGTTTGATAATATCTGCGAAGTACAAAGTGATAAGGCATCAGTTACAATCACCAGCCGTTACGATGGTGTCATCAAAAAATTGTGAGTTTGATCATCATACCCTGACTTTTTTAAGTGTGAACAAAAACCGTTTCTGTAGCAATCCTCTTGAAGTTATTTTTATTAGTGTTCATACTGTCTTTCGGGATTGAAAAAAATATCTGATTTTTTCCATAAAATTTACATAATATATATAATTTTAAGTAAAAGTTTCAGAGTTTAAAACAATTTATTGTAGATACTATAATATTGAAGATGTAGCGAAGGTCGGTACAACTCTTGTGGACATCGAAGTTGCAGACGTCAATACCGGTATTTATTTCTTTTTTTTTTCAGGCAATCTTTAATTCACGATGGTTTAGTAAGTTGCGTTCAACGGACTTGTGAAAAATAAAATCAAGTTAGTGTGAATGTTGCAGTTTGCTAGACTGCTTAAGCCACACAAAAGTTATGTAGTCCGAAACTGCATAACATAGCTCTTCAACTAAAGCGACTTTGGTTTGACCTATTGGATGATATTCACAACGTTTCTCATTTGGACAACTTTTTTTGTGCATAAGGGTCGCTGTAAACTGTGACATCAACAGTCGTATTAATTTCCCTCATCACCGATCAGCGAGTAATGAAAAATGTAGTTGCTCTTCATTATTTGCTGAAAAATTTTGATTTCTTTACTTAACTACACGTTAAGTGGTGCAAGAAGAAAGTTTTAATGGCAAAGTGGAGACAGAAGCGATCACTTCAGAGGATCAGGAAGATAGAAAAGTCCTTGCAACTCCGACGGTTCGACAACTTGCCAAGGAAAAAGGGGTACTTTGTTTTTTTTTTTTTTCATTTACCAAAAACAGTGGATTTTTTATCTTATGCTTGGATTCATGGAAAAGTATCACAGTTTTAAAAGTTTCCATAAAAGTGGGTATAAATGGCAGAGAAGAACACAATAATTTTAGGTAATAAATATTTAGTAACATATCAAGAAAATTTATTGTCTAAACTGGATTTGTGATCTTTCATTGCCTTCTTTACTCCAGATTAAAGCTTTTGGGTTCCCCTTGGAACAGCGCCATTTGTTAAACTTACATCTTCTTATAGAATTAAGTCAACTGTTCTAGAAAAATATGACAATCGCTGGTATAAATAGCATCATTTTGTTTTCAGTGAATGTTTGTTTAAGGTGAATCTGAAAGAAATCATTGGAACAGGTCTTAGTGGACGAATTCTGAAGGATGATGTTATTCGGTATGTCGAACGTCAAACCGGTAAGGGCTTATATTCCTCCTAATTTTCATAGTACTATTCTCTTTCAAAGTCTGTTGCTATCAACAATTGTGATGAAATTAAAGCGACGATTCCGTATGCTACTTAAAATGGAATATAGTGAACACAGAACACGGAACTAAGGAATGGCAAACCAGCGCGTTTATATTCTTTGTTATGTTGTGGAATATTTTAATTTTCCTCACAGTTCTTTGATTCATGTGCAGACCATAAATATAATCTAGATTTATCGTCGTCTGCGGCTGGAAAGACACCATTCGTGAATGTGACACTTCACACCACAAGCGGAACATCACCACGATCACATTCTTTGTCGCTGGAAAAGGTTTACATATATATACATATATATACATGTCAGTGTTAACTCGTGATGACAAGTGAGTTATTTAACTGTGGAAAGTGTGATGAATCAAGCTCATTTTCTTATCCCTTATAAAAGTATTGCATCAGACTGCTTGCTGTTATTCGTAAAATGATAAACCAGTGAGATACTTCCCAGTTATCAAATCTATGGAATTTTCAGTTTGAGGTGTTGAAGGAAGATAAGGTGGTCCCTATACGCAGTTACACTCGTGCTATGGTCAAGTCCATGACTGAGTCTTTGAAAATACCACATCTTGGCTTTTGCGATGAGGTAATATTTATTTAATATCAGTTTTCTGTTTAGTTTCGCTTCATGAGGTTAGTAAATTTGTATATAATAAGTGAAATATTATTCGGATTTTTTTGATTGTTGAAATATGGAAAAGTTAGATTAAAAGTTCAAGTATTTTTTGTAGCAGAAAATGACGGGTTCTTTGTTTTAACCATTTTGGTTTCCGTAAGTATTTTTTCTCATATTCCCTAGATTATAATGAATTGGACAGATGAATACGGAATAGAAATTAGGGAAGCTGATTATTCAAGGAAGAGTTTTTGCTATGTTGAAAAGAAAGCGATACCTAGTGGGATTTTTAAATTAAAGTTCCATATTCAGGTGAACTTTGATCAGCTAATAACAATGCGCGAGGAACTGAAAAAATTTGAAGAAGCATATAATGTTCATATGAGTTTTATGCCTATTATTATCAAAGCTGTGTCCCTTGGTTTGAAGAAATTTCCAAGGCTTAACGCTATAACGGACATAAGTGTAGAAAATGTCATTTACAAAGTAAGTTGTTTTATATTATTCACATCTGGTTGAGTTCTAAGCCAAATAATTAGTGTGCTTTTCTAGGAGTTAGTTTCGAATGACAAATATCTTCTTTTTTAATGATATTAGAAACGAAATGAAAAAAGTTTCCGTTTGCGTGTAATATAAGCTTGATAGAGGATTATCTCTCTCACTTCACCTCTCTCTCTTTCTCTTTGATAGCTAACGAAATGAATTATAACTTCAGTTTTGATGGATTATAGCAGAACAAAGACAAGAAATTGTTGATCAATAGACAGTCAAATTTAAATGCAATTTTTGAAGTATTAATTGAGGCGTTTCGTCTCTTGTATTGAAGAATCCGAAATTTTCTTATCAAATAGAAATAAAGTGAAAAAAACATTTTATTTGATGCATTAATATGTCTTGATTTCAGATATTGGGTATTTTAGGTTAGTTTTAAGTGCTTAAATTAAGTTAAAAACATTGTCTTACTAGTTGTTCTACCAATTTTTTAGGCATCGCATAACATATCAATAGCTATGGATACTCAGGAAGGTCTTGTAGTACCAAACATCAAACATTGTGAACAGCGCACGGTGTGGGAGATTGCTGCGGAACTGAACCGTCTTCAGGAAGCTAGCAGTAAGATGAAAATAGACCCAGAAGATCTAAGGGATGGAACGTTTGCATTGTCCAATATAGGCATGGTGAGCATATTTTTATAGCTGGAAATTTGCATGAAATTTCAAGAAATATTAAGTAAGCGACATCAATCACCCACGGAGCTCCCTAATCATTCATTTGGGATTGTTATCTTTAGTAAATTTTGTAGTTGCAGCAGTCTACTTAAATATTTTCTTAAGCGACACTGTTTGTTAATATTATCTTGTTAGGTAGGACAAGAGGGAATAAGAATACTTCTCGGACGGAATGATACTACATGAAAAAAAAAAACACTGTTAATTTGATGAAACCTTGCTGTTGCCACCAACGAGTAACGAAAAAGTCGAATTATATCTTTCATTGAAATTAAATTCGAGTCCTGATCTTGACTGTACATTAATTGTTCATTGGGATGCTACAACTGTGCTGTAAAAGAGCCGTTCTTCCTATACTTAATGAGGTGCATGATGGCAGAACGATGAAATTTGACAGCATTATAATCAACGAAAAGATTCTTCAAGTATTCCATCTAATGCACCTAACACTGAGCAGGAAAGATTGTGCTTAGTTTTAGGTATTACAACGAAAGAATACTATAAAAAGTTTTTTTACCAAATTTGCAGATTGGTGGTACCTATCTTTCCCCGGTAATCATGCCACCTCAGCTTGCGATTGGAGCAATTGGACAGATTGCTAAATTACCTCGATTTGATAAGCAGGGAAATGTGAGTTGCTTCAGAAGCATTGTTTTTATAAAATTTATTGCTAATGGCTACTTCGGCAAGGTATGTATCTTCTCCTACGGACTCCTCACACTTTAAACTGACTTTTGAAATATGACTGATGAGTATTTTGTTTACTCCACTCAATCTTCTTGCAAGAAAAAGCTGTTTTGAAATTAAAGTTGGATATGGACATCTTCCTTTGCTGGTTATTTACGGAAAGTTGCTGGTCAAAGGCTGATGACTAATTCCGCATATTGACAGGTTTGTGCAACTAATGTGGTGAAGTTTTCCTGGGCTGCAGATCATCGTTTTATTGATGGTGCCACGGTAGCTCGCTTTAGTAGCGAAGTAAAGCGATATCTTGAGAATCCATCCAATATGGTTGCCGATCTGAGATAAGCAATGATAAATGATGTTTTCTTTAAATCATTTTAAGAATTTCACGGTTTTCACTTATGGATTTCTTGACGTTTATGCATTTTTAAATATATTTCTGGACCATGTTTCTAGAAATACTGGACTATGCTGATCGGGAGGTAAGTGGGCCGAGAATCGCGAATATATATTATTCTACCTTCATTAGTTTGTGCAAGAATATTTCCTTTGCAAATTGGTGTTGTTCCGATTCGAATCCCACTTGCTTATACATACTTGTCAATTTTATGTTGTGGGTTCATTGCTATTGTATTTTTAAGATATCAGTAATTTTTTATATCATATCGCGTATTTCATGTAATATTGTAGCGACTTTATATGCTTTAAGATGAATAAAAAACGACAGCAAATTGTTGCTCAATTTCACATTATAAAAAATAGTGGAGTTGTTTATTGCTAGTGACTAAGTGACGTCGCAGGATGACGTTTACTTTTTGACGATAAAAGACTTTGGAAGTTTCATAAAATCTCATCCTCTAAGTTCTGGTAGTACTTCTTTGTAACGGTGTATGAAAAGGTAGTGTTGACGATGTACGTATTACACTTGAAGTAGTGTATCTTCCGCTCAGTCCTACTTCTCTTTGTTTGTCGATTTCTTCAGATTTCAGCTTTTATCTTTCTCCTACATGATAGAAATTTGCAAACTGATTTCTATAGTTGCACGTCTCTAGACCCACAGTACAGAAAACCTGGTATGACCCCTGACCCGTATGCAGACTCGCTCGCTAATGGTTTTCTAGCTGTTAGAGACTGCAGTTTGTGTAGCACTAAATCGATGGTGTACGATGATAGTAGTAAATTTTATGGAAAGTTCAGATACTTTCATTGTATTTTCTGCTGTTCCTATGACGAGTTGTATATTTAACCTTTTACAGTTAATCAATTTATCAATTAACTATTATACATATATCGAGTTGAATGATATTGTATGGGCATGTATATGATGAGCAATTTTCCAGGCAAATAAAGCAAAGGGGGCCTATGAACTGATTAAAGTTGACATACTGCTTTTTTGCTACTAAAAATCTTCTAAAATTGGGATGAAAGTGCGCAATTGACTTCATGAAACATTTTCCTCTGAGAAACAAAAATTTTTTCCCGAAAGGTCTACGAGCGAGTGGGGTGAACATAAGTGGGAGATGTGTGCTTTGGTGGCTTAGGCTGTGTGAGAGTACTGGTAAGTATTGTTTTGATAGGTAAGACGTGTCTCTCTATGGTCAAAGATTGTAGGGTGGTCTAAGAGAGACTTTCTTATGCATATTGTGGTTTGTTAGGAGAAACCACAATCGCCGCATGAAATTTCGGCTCAAAATGGCAGCGAGACAACTGATGATGGATGGGAAGGAAGTCACACCTAACTTGATCTGAACTGTTGATTCGACAGTTTCAGGCATGTATCTCTTCCCATCTTTTGCGTTCCTCATCTTTACCTTCGGAAGTTTGGAAGTTTTTTTATCATGCTGGCAGCATCATCCATCCTTACAATGACTGATAACTGTCCTCAATGACTGAAAATGAATCAGCCATGTTGTGTTAAATATTGGCATTTCATCAGAAACTTAAGTTGATTTTATCATTTGTATTTGCATAATGTCACATGTTGTAACTAATTCATATTTCACATCTAAATGCACTTGCATAACTTCTCCAGAAATTAAATTTGTGTTTCTTTCTGTCATATGTTGTTCAAAATTCTCATTGCATTATGAGATTTGAGGATAGCTCTATTTTTGCTAAACATACTGAATAACAACATGTAATGAAATTTATCGACGGGCATCTTGTGAGGTACAGTGGAAATTAATAAGTAATGGGATTGTATCTGTGATGAATTTAACTAATTTTATCTCTTTTTGAATTGTCTGCATCAAATACAAGCTCAGTTAGGTGTCATACCAAGCGTCATTTGATTGGTGGATGTATCGTTTTCGTCACTGAAACGGGACAATAGTAATTTTACAAATTTACATAATTCAGATCGATTCATATTTTCATCTCGCTAATCCTCCCTTCTACGATACTTTGTATAGTAAATAGGGAAATAGCAGAGTGATAAGTTGTTTTGATGTTTTTTCTTTCTATTTCTCTCCCGTGTTTAGAAACTTTACCTTCTGCCTTCCTCTCCTGTTCATCTTCATTCCAGTTCCATATCCCATTCTTGCATCATCGATGGCATGGCGCGGCATCAACTGAAAAGTGATTTTGTACCTTAAGGAAATGTAAAATCATTGGTAGTTTACACTTTTTTCAAGAATATTTCAAATTAATTGTTAATTATCTGACAGACAAAGGATAGATGGTTGTTCAGGAGAGGCAAACAGTTTGTTAATTTTCCGGATGGATTTCGTTCGTTTTTGTCTTTTAATACTATACCATCGATTTTACTTAGACTAGTATACTTCCAGTCAAATATGATGAGGTTATCTTTGATATGCTCACTTCCAACTTCCATTCATCACCCCTATTACATACTCCATCATTCAAAAATGAAGTTCTTACTGATTAGAAAAAGGTGACTAAATGTTTGATAGTAGTTTGCATTTTGAACAGGGTTTGTTAGCTGTTTTGTTGGAGTTCTTGTGTAACTGCGCGTTTCTCGTTTCTCACATATTTTTCTAACCGTTTCAATTTTTTTCAAGATATTTACGATGAGTAGTACAACTGCAAAGGAAGCTACATCGGAAGAGCCACCTGTGTATACTGACCTTAGCCAACAATTTGTACCGTTTGAAGAATCTGATGAATCTGCTACATCACCTCTAATGGCTGAAGAAAATAGACATGATGAGCAGTCAGAAAACATCTATGGTAATGACAATCAAATTAAAATGAAATTAATTTTCAGGTTTTTTGATCCAACTTATGGGAATTCAATAGAACTTCGTGTCCATGAATGCGTTTGCTTGATCTTTTTTTCCGTGCAGGACAGAGCTTACCAGAAAATCAGTTTAGTCGCCCAGAAGTGAACCAGTATTGAAAACAATAAGTCAATTTAGAACTATTCTTTTTAATCTTAGACATATGACATAAAGGCTTTGTTTATGTGAGATATTCATCATTGGGTTATTTTTGTAACCCAAACTTATCTTGAAATAATAAAGTGAACACATGAATTCCGTATGGTTTTATTTTCTTTTGCTAGTACAGTTCCTTTTTTAATCCTCAATATTCAGGGTTTGAACTTTGTTTCAGGAATTATTCAAATATAGTAAGAAACGGAAGTTTTAAGATGTTTTAAATTAATATTTAATCCATTTACGAACTTTTTAGCTGCAAGTTTAGAGTATTGTCCAAATGAAGCTGTTGACACGAACTTTCATTTTAAGAAATCATGCGCATACGATTTTTAAATTTGTCGCCGCTGTAATGGCGATACTTTTACCACTTATATGGCTTAAAAGATAATAATTGTTTTGGAGTGATAGCTCTGATGTCGTATTCGCGTTTGATAAAAATTACCTCATTATTGCTGTTCCTGTTATATAATCTTTTCCTCGTTTTTCTTCAAGAAACAAATATGCCTAAAAGGCAAAATGCTCTTTTCGAGTAGGGTCCTAATTCATAGGGCCATTTCAAACATCATTTGTTACAAAATTTTTACGGATGGAAAAATGCATGAAATATCCGACAAATACTGAAGTCATAGCAGTATTCTAGAAGCATTCTGCGTTTAATATAAGTCTTAAGTAGTATGAAAAAGAGATGTTTTTTGAATGTAATTCTTCCATTATTTTCATAATATTTCAGATAGGCGGTTGTTATGCTGTTAATAAATGATCTTAATTATTTCCATTAATAAGTATCTTTGAAACTAAGTAAAAGCAAAGAATCTTTCGCATATTGCATCAAATCTACCCACTATTTACTTATTTTGGATTTTTTTGCAGATGAAGCATTAAACGGATCTCCTAACAGTGATTGTTGCCAAAATGTTGTGGGATGTGAAGCGCTGGAGATGTTAGAAGAGGTCAGAGTAACGGATGAGCAATCGAAACCAACTGCAAAGATAACTAGACAATTCCGGAAGGTATGAGTTTTTTTCAGGAATTACAGTACATTAATAATTGGATATGAGCTGAACTTTTTCTTTTTCAGCGAAGTGCTAGGAGAAGAGGAGGGAATGGATTGTGCCCTCCACATCCACCGGAAGATGTGCCAGTTGTGGATTGGAGTGAACCAAGCGAAATCAAGCATATATTCCCGAAGACATATAACTACGTGGTAGATCGCATTGTTCATAAATTTATGATTCATTCCTTCCCTATCACAATAAGGAACGCTATGGGACAATGATGAAAGAATATCATAAAGAATTACACTGCTATCCTTTGAAAAAATTTTGGAAACGACCTAATTCAGTCACTTTAAGATTAATTTATCCGGCTAAGCTTTTTTTATGTAGTTCGGTAGGTTATATTTGAAGGATTTCAGAATGTCATTGCCATACTTTTTTCATCGAATAGATAGGAATGAATAGTGATAGAATTGCGCAAATATTGTTTGTGTTTGATAGTCATGAAACCTACAATAGTGCTGTTGTTCCTAGGTTTACGCTCAAGCGCGTTACAGTTCCCAGTACCTCAATTTGTCAAAGTGGAGAAAGGAATTTGATTTCTTCCTTGATAAATACAAATACTGGCGCAATCTCATCCAAAAGTAAGTTCTAAATAAGGTTAAATGAGGCGACTTAGTTTAATATCTTTAAAGTCGTCTTGTTAAGTCTAAACCGCCATATGTTATTAATTTGTCGACCATATCATTCAGATCTTTCTCAGATGTATTCGGCTTATTTTTTCCAGAAAGCAGCTTACTGACCATAAAGAAATCACCAAAGCGAAACAACTTGTAGGACAGCTGAGATGGTTGCTTGATCATTGCTGGGAAGGTGATGAAAGCAAACCTTTAGTACCAGAAATGTTGTGGAGAGCTCGAAAGGGTATGTTTTGCTTGTTGAAGTTTTGGGTCTGCTTTTAAAGGTTATAAGCAGTTGAATGGAAAGCTCGAAAGGATACTGATTTATATCTGTTTCAGAGGAAGCTCGAAGATGTGAACAATTACTGATCCGTAAGGAATATTACAAAAGAGAGGTATTGGTGAAGACAACTGTACCACCACTTTCTGGTCGTGTAAATGCCAGCATACATCTGAAGAAACACGATGACCACACTTCTTCACTTGAAGATGATACGGTGAAGCTTTCATCCACATTTGAGAGAGAAGCTATAGAACAAGTTGAAATTGATGACAGTGGTGGACTATCGAAATCGCCATTATCTAACAAATTAAATGAAGAAGAGGAAGAGGAAGATGACCCACCGAATTTTTGGAAAGAGCGTGATCAGATTATTAGGAAAAGAGCGTATGTTATTTTCTTTATTCAGGTGTGATATTAACACATTTGGACATTAGAAATATTGTTGAATGCAGCATTGTTTCGAGTTAGAAATACATTTCTTCCAATTATCGAAAATATATCTTTAGGCATCTCTTTTCACTCCAATTCTTGGTACGTCGTTGGGCAGATGTGCTAAAACAGCTGCAAACGCCATCAGGAATAGTGCGAACATCATGTTATCGTACTTTTATGCAAAAAAAGGTGGAACAGTACGCTCGAGATCTGATAGCTATGTATGAAGAGATCAAAGGTTCAGATAATTTCGACGAGCAAGTAATCCGTAAGATGATTTATTCTACTCTTAAATAATAAATCTTTTATCGTACTTTAATTCTTATGTGTTGAGCTTGTTTTTTTTTATATATATAAAAACTTTTATGCCCGAAGATGAAATGATCTTTTTCATTGGAAAATTAATTATACATCGAATTTCAAGTAATTTATCGCAATGTTTGTATTGGTGTACTATTAGTATTGGTCGAGAAGTCTTTTTTTATCACAATTTTTTTTGTCAAAGCTAATTAATCTCAAGTAATCAGCTGTATCTGTTAACATCGTTAACATCGTTTGGTAGTCCATGTTTAGGAATGTTACCATATCATTATTGGGACGTTCATGCAGTTAGTGTTGATTTTTCCAGCTAATATGATTATGTTTCATTTCGAGCAGAATACAACAAACTATTCAGTATAAACTACATCTTCATTTAGAAAAAAATTGCAACAGGAATATATAATTTTTTATTAATTGCAGATGTTCTTTTACGACGAGATGTGCTGCTTAAGGAGGATATGTGTGAAAATGGCCTAGAATCGCTCACCAACAATTGGGTTATTTTTGAATCGAAGTCACCCAAAGTTTTTAAAAAAAAAGTGGATAGGAGTTCTCGAGAATCATCAAACTCACCAGCGAAATTTTCATTTTCAAGCACTTCATCGACATTGCTGAAAGTGAGGGATTATCTGGATGATGATGTGAAGTGTGCTACACCTGCAATACGGAATTCCAAAGCAAAGCAAGTGACGTGTGACCCATCAGAAGTCACAAATACGACACAACTTGCTGCAACAAAAGACAATAGAACGAGCATGCCGAGTAGATCTGGTTTAACAATTGGTGCTGAAATTCCTCGACCTGTGGCGATTAAGCCATCTAACTTGACAGGTCAATTTACAGCCTATGTCAATTATTTTTGCCAGATAGATTGATGAACTGTGATTATTTATGCTAGTCTGCTTTCTAATTCTTTTGTAGATTAAATGATAAAGCTTCTTTATTCTTTTACTTTTTATTGTATCTTTTTTGAAGGTTTTTAATGGAAAATATGCAAAAAGCTTTTGCAGAAGATGAAAGAAATCGATTGGAATTGCAAGAAGTTGTAGCAGTAGAAGCGTTGTGGGCTGCATTTGCTAAAACAGAAACACCAAAATGCAAGAATTTCTGCTTTTTATTTCTAATATATGCAAAATTTTTTTTGCGAGAGTAGAGATGTTTAAAATCTGATGCAAAGAAAAAATTATTACTTTAACAGTTTTTTAGATCTCTTCTTTCAGTCAAAGATGATAAGCCAATATTGAATGCTATCGAAGCTGTTTTGAACTCATGTAGAAGTTATCGAGCAGTACTTGAAGTTCCGCTACCAAAAATGCTTGCAGACTTACGGCGTACCGCAAAATTCCGTAAGCTTTTCAACTATTGAAAATTTTATTAAGTTTTGTTTCAAAACGTAACACCATAGCACTGTTTTACATTTCATTATATTGACGACCACGTTCTATGATATATTTATATATATATAATAATGAGCAAAGCATTCAAATCTCTGTAGAAGCGAAATTTATCCAGCAAGTTATATCCATTTATATCATACGGAATCATGTGAATTTTCACCAAATCCAGGCCTACAGTAATTTTCAGGCAACATTAATGAATCAGTAGCGCTCTTACAAGCATTGATAATTCAGAGGCACGAAGCAAAAACAGGTAAGTATGTGGCTTTTCTAAGACATTTTGCGGATATTCATTTGCCAAAAAACTTCATGTATATTCATCTCTTTCTGAGATGAATATGCAGCAGTTGGGAAGCAAAATATATATTTTTGCTTCAGTCGCTCTTTGCTAATTGTGACAAAAATGAGTTTTGTTCTCGTCTTTTTATCTTCATATTCAGGAAGAAATTGAAAATGTGTATAGCGACTTTTAAAGTAGATACAAAAATGAGATGAATCCTTCTGGTTCATCATATACAGTATCAATCTTAATCATTTTCTCCTTTCTAATAGAGTAAAATTGCGATCATTTGACAAAGGCGATAAATAATACTTATTGGTCTGTTTATGTCATATCATTTCAATCTCTACATCACTGAATAAAGAGTCTTATTTTGATTTTATATGACTAAATTTGCTACAGTTTTTTCGCCGGAATATAACGAGAGAGAAGTAATCCTATTTAGGATTGCTGTTTTGTTCATTAGATTTTTGGATCTTCTGTAGTTGTCTCTCAGACTCTTCGTAATTTTGTCCTTCTGCTTATTTCATCCAAGCAAGACTAAGCCAATACGGTTGTAAATTATAAGAAATCTGTTTTTTATGGACTGATTTCAAAATGTGATACTTTGATATTATCCTCTTTACATCATTTGATTATATAAACAGAAGAATAGTTAGTATATGCATCTTATTGTTATCGCACTGAGCGATGTATACCCAGAATTTGTCAAAGAAGAAAGGTTGAGAATGATATCAAAGTACCGCATGTTGAAATTAGCAACTCTTTAGCAGAAACACAATTCCTAGAAGTGACCGATAATTTCAAATGATTTTTGTGAGCAACATAAGTATAGTTTATTTCTAAAGCGATGTATTAAAATATTGCTTCCATTTCATTCAGTATTCTTAATAACACAGATTGCGCAGAACGAGCAACAACGCTTAAATAAAATTAGCTACTTAAACAGATGTTAACATGTCAAATAAATCTTACATTTAGTGAAATTATTGTGTTAGTACAACGGTATTAAAATTAATTATTTAATCTTAACAATTAGTATTGGACGTTTGAGTAGTATTAAAAATCAAAGTATGGATTTTTTTTCTTCTTGGAAATTTTTATATAAATACATATTTAAAAAGGGAAGATTTTCAATTGAACAAAATATAATCTAAAGAAAGAATATCTGTTGTGCGACTATTCGCTACATTTCTTAAATGAATGACATACATACAAAATGAGTGATATACAGTCCTCTGAAGTGTGCTCTAAAGTTTAGTGCAACATGTCTATCAGTTTACATTACGAAATCTTATAAATTGGGAATTTCGTTTATTTTGTCCGACTTTAAACAGTTAACGTAAGCTTATAGTTTTTTCAGTTATTTAGCCTTTTGTGGTTTTGACATGTTCATTGTTCATAGATGATGATCATACTGAACAGTTTTAGGTCGTCGAGTTGATCTAACTCTTTTTGAAACTCCGGAAATTAGAAGACTTCGAGCACAGTTTGCTGCTTCAGTTGCAGCACATAATTCGAATCCTGCCGTTTCAGTGAGACCTGCAGAAATTGCTTCTCATATTTCATATTCAGCTGGGATAAGATCTTCGGCATCGAGCTCGACTGGCATAAAATCTTTGGAAGCAAGTTCATCTGGCGTAAAATCTTTAGAAAATAATATTAAGCAGGAATTGGACGAAACACCACCTAAAAAGAAACAAAAACAATTAAGTGAAGAAGTAATTGAATCTGATAAGGATGAATTGAAAAGAGAAACGAAATCGGTGAAAAGTGATGGTAATATCGAAATGTTAGCTACGAATCGCCCAAAACGTCATATTAAGGCACCGCAAAGGTAACCAGATCTTTCCCAAATTTCACTAAATAAATTTATTCTATCTTCTAAACGAGCATAGTAAGAAGTTGTCTTCTTTTTGCTTCTGCGTGGTATTTTAAAGATTTCAGCATATCCGATTTTTTTAATATAATAATGCATTCCTAAAGTTCTTCATTAATAAATCTCTTATAGATTTATATTCGATGACGAAGAAAAAGAAGAGGAAAAAAAGAAAAAAACAGTGACGCGGGAACGAGCAAAAACTGTCAAGGAAAATAGTCCGAAAGCAATAGAAAAACTGAATCAAATGTCGCAGTACAACAGTGTCCACAAAGAAAAGCATGAAAAAAATGTTGATTCGTCAGCATCATCAATGTAAGTTTAGAAAGTTTACATCGCAGAAATTTGAATGTTTATGCCGTTCTTTTGATGAAAACAGAAGTATACAAAAAATAATATTGACAAAACAAACGTTGGAATTTTAAGAACTGCATTCCTGCATATGTGAAATTAAAAAAAGCCAACCACTTTAGGGAGTTATCAAACATGGAAACAATTGTGGTAATCCCAGAAGATGATAGTATGGATCCGAATGACTGTAATTTCTGGTTCTTAAACACTGATGATGAAATGTGAGTTAAATTTATTTTTTATTCTGCTTTTGTGACACATTGTCAAACGGTAAAATTTTTAAAAGTAGCGTGATATTACTCTACTGTTAACGATAATTCATTTTCAATCCGCCAAAATTAACATATAGATTCATTTTTCCATTAATGAATCTATATGTTAGTTTTCATTTTCGCATGTAGTTTGATGCAGTATAGTTTGAGATGTTATATCGATATATCGTGCTCTTATTCACAGTATTAAGTAATATGCAGGTAATTAATAGCAGCGAAAAGTAGATACATATAAATTATTTGTAAATTGTCGAGGAAGATATATATCTAAAACATTTAAGCTCTTTAAAGTATGTCGTTTTCTTATTATTAGCAACTTGAAATAGAGGAGTACTACAAGCTGTTCTCTGATGTTCTCATTTTGAATAAAGATATTTTAATGTCTAGTTTCAGGTTTCTGGATCCCGATTTAGTTAACGTAAAAGTTGAGCACGAATTCAAATATGAACCTGATGGAATAGTGCATGACACGTTTCGATATATCGGCACGTGGAAAAATGGCACTGTTAAAGAAGTAAGCAGACGTGTATATGAACTTTGGACTAATCGCAAGGTTTGTTTTTAAGTCGCTAATGAATCTAAGTTTTTGTCTTTCAAATTAAATTTATAATTTTTATTGTATTTGTCATGAATTTTATATCTTCTAGATTGCTAAAGTAAGTGGACAAGCAACTACTGAAGAAAGCAAGAGCAAGGTAAGTGAAGTTTTTGAAATTTTTGTTTTTTTTTATTTCTTTATCGGATATCAAATTTTTGCCTGACGGTTATTGTAAGATTTGCCTTTTATAAAGTAGAAATTGTTAAGGAAACAGAAAGTACAACTGAACAACAGCGATCAATATCGCCACAAGTTCCACAACAAAAACAAGTATCATCCATCAATTTATTGACATATCCAGATAATAATAGCACTTCGAATGAACGAGTGATAAACTATAACGATGTGGCAAGCATTTATTCAAATGATACTATCAGTCGTTTATCGGGTACCGGACCATGTAGCTCACAGGATATTGCATTTGGTAGTAATTTAAGGGAACAGAATGAAGATGGAGATTGTGGTCCTTGGCGACAAGTGAGTGGTGAAATTTTTATCTCTTTTCATGTAAGCGTAGAGTAAAACTATTTGATACTTAAATGCACTGATTGTTGAATTAAGTTTTAAAGTGGATTCGAAATAAAGAATAATCCGATTCGCTGTCTGTGTGAAGTGAGGTTCTTTCCCGCTTTCCATTTTTCAAGGAAAAAGTTGTATTTTGTTAATCATTGCGTCAAAACCAATTTTGTGCTTGTCATTCAGAAAAAAGTTTGAGAAACATTATTGGATACAGGAAATATCTTTATGTTCGTAATAATTACCAAGCAGAAAGTCTATATACACAGCTCAGTTTTGAGAGAGAAGCTCGAGATTTAACTTTTTCTTACTTTATACCGCTTAAGAACTTCGAGCGTCGTAGTTTGACATTCTTTTCTGAATAAAATTGACATATTTCAGGTAGCATTTCGAAAAGAGACATCATTAGGTGGACCAGTAAAAATGGATAAACTAAAGACGCAGTATGATCATTTACTTATGATTTCGGAAAAGAAATATATGGGAAAATTGTTCTCAGAATGGATGTATGTTCCGGAAGGTGGTTTATTTGATGATAGGGTAAAACGTATAAAGCAGATTATTCAAGAACTGGAAGATATACTCAATCAGCCGGACTCAACATGGAGAGACTATTTCAACATGAAAAGTTTGTTCTGGTTCTACAGAGAATTGTTTTAATTTTTGAGTAAATCGAATTAAATTTATTAAAAAATAATTATTAATAGAAATTTCGTTATTTATTAATGATTTTTTAGAATATTTGCAAACAATGATTGACAACGTTATGATTGAATTCAGTGCGCTATCTGAACAAGGTTAGTAGCATATTTTACTAATCATAATGGCCGTTGGCAATATCTTTTAGAAAATGAAGCTCGAAGCGTATTGTGATAACATTCCATACGGAGATTTTATAAAATCGGGAAAAGTCTGTTAGTGAGAGATTTCAGTTATTTTTGGTCTCTTTACGATTTATTTTCAGTTCCATCAACTCATCTCATGCATATATCTGATGCTACGTTTTCATCCAGCAAAAGCACCATAAGTGATGCCGAGCGTGACAGTGCCAATGTTTTAACTAGACCAAATTCGAATTGAATAGTTCTGTGATTTGCTTTCTGAATAAAATATTCGATTGCCATTTTCTTTTTGAAAAAAGAGCTCTTATTTTCGTTAAATATGGGATCGGGGCGAGTCTTCTCCTTACTTTTGATTACCTTTCAATGAATTCATAACAATGGACTTCGCAGGTATTAAACAGTATGCTCCCTATTACCAGGAATCAAGCTAGATCTCGTTCTTGCGTTAGGTTCATAATTTCATGGATTTTTTATTTTTAGAGTTGTTAAATTCCAAAAAGAGAAACATACCTTAAACACTGGCTCAAGTTCTTTTTACTTCAGTACAACTTTCATTCTTGAGCTTAATGCAAGAAAAAATATATCTAGAATTTAAGCAATGCTCATATTTCAAAAACTTATTTCGGAAGTTTCACCTAACACTGCAAAATCTTTGTAGCTTCTACAGAATCAAGCTTTCTCAGCCACTTCCCATCTGTTTGTCTTATTGAATAGATTTCGGCCATCTGAGGAAGTTTATTCCGCTTGTGTATATTAATTTTTATATTATTGGATAGATTTTGGTCACCTAAGAAGTTTTTCTGTTGTATATATTAATCTTTGTTCTGCATCTATTCTTATATCTCTTTTGTGAAATATATTTTATTTGTTGTGCAAAAAACTTTCTTACTCTTTTTCCTTGTAAATAATTAAGAAAACTTAGTCTTCAGATTGGGCAAAATATCCGTATATTGACAACACTTATGCCAATATCTTTAACGTCTTTACTCATTTCTCACTTTGAACAATTTAGAACTGTAACTCTAGCAGCCTGCACGTTCATACATTGGTCCTAATTTGCAATGTAACTTGAAAAGACCAATGGGTTCCTAATTTCGGTAATGATTGCTAACAAAGACATTTTTTTGGAAATTCACAACCCATAATCTAAAGACAAAATCACCCTTTATCAAACGGTTTTCTTTTTCAAAAGGATACTGGGTTAGTAGACTTCCTGAAATAATTTAACTTCGATAGATACAAAGAATTTTGGTTCCTGTATTTACGTCACCACATTGATGAGCACCAATTATCAACAAATAAATGATAATTAGACGGGTCTGTGTAATTTCGCAATTCATATATACAATATGATATTCACAATTGATAAACTATTATTATTGAATTAAAACTAACATAACCAGCTCTCAAAAACTATGCTACGAATACTTGCGCTATATCGTCATGTTCATATGTTCTCCTTAGGAATGTGTCCGTGACTCGAATGCCGGAAATTGACTGAAAATTAAAAGTTACCATTAAATTAAAAAACAATAAGAAACATTATGATGAAGGATATGAATAGTGTTACTATGTGCTTAAAAGATTTGATGGAAATAAAAGTTGCTTTAAAAAAAAAATCACTACATTCCAAACGCGATAACTAAATTGATTCTTATTCTTGGGTGGATTTGAAATTGGAAACTGAGATCTTGAGCCTATTCCACTCAGGAGTTTTCTGCAGGTCAGTAATTGCTGAAGGTTGTTGCATGAATTGGTGGATCTCTGTTCTCATCGAGTGGAAATTCAGTTAAGACTGATATCATGGAAATAAATTCTTGATTCATGCTTTTTTTTTCAATCTTATAAAAAGCATTCATTGTTATAAAATACAACATTACAAAACAAGTTATGTCAAATATTCAGCGGCAGTGAATTTTCCGTATATTTATCATCATCAAATTTTATCCCTAATATTTTTTTGCATTGCTTACTATTTAAAATTTGGTTCAATAAACTGATAAAAAATACTTGTAATCCTGGAGTTAGCGGCAATAACTCTAGAGAAAAATCAGTCGTACTGTTTGGTGGCAATTGTCCCAACTCAACACCGCTAGTTGAACAAAACGCAATATTCGGTTGGAGTTTATCGTCTAAAGTTAGCATTAAATCCAGTGATCGTTCGCTGAAATTGTGATTCATCATTCCGT